AAAGGTAAACGTCCATATCCTAACTATAGATTCCGCTGCGTTAGGATTTATTTCGATAAAGTTCAATGCCGTGCATGTTGTTTGACGTTCCTAACAGAACCCAACACTTAGCAACCTTGGAAAGGATAGAGTAGCTTGAGATCTTACTTTTCCACCACCCCAATAAGTCGAAATCCTCATTCTTTGTACTTTCATATGCATCATTAAAGTACTTGTCAATTTCGTTAGCTATCTCTTTGAGTTTTTCTTCCTTTCTTTGCTTATTAAGTCTCCGCTCTATCCGAACTTCCACATCATCATCATCATCATCATCATCATCATCACCAAGATCAACACCATCATCCACATCCTCATGCACATCCACATATGACTTTTCCGTTCCTTTGTAAATTTCATACATAAGATACAAGTGTGCTTTCACCCGACTCTTGAGGTGCTCAACTTCATGAAGAGTGTAACCAAGCTCCACTAATTGCAACTCCATCAATTGAAACTTATATCGTGGATCAAGGGTTTGGGCTACAAACATTAACATGTTCATATCTTCCAAAGAGCCCCAATATTTATCAAACTTCTTCTTCATAGAAGTAGCCACATTTTGCAACACAATATTTTTCTTATCTCTAATTCTAGCCTCAATCTCAATCTTCAAGTTTATCAAGATTTTTAGAACAAGATGCGAGGTCGGAGTCTTGGTGGCACTAAGCTTGATGGTGGCATCATAGAACTTCTTGAGAAAATGTGCAAATCCCATAGCCTTTTCCCAATCTTCATCCGTCGGAGGCCCCACTCTTCCATCTTCAAAGTATGTCTTAAATGGCGTAAATTCTTCCACCATCCTAGCAAATACACCTTTAAACTTGTAAGCACCATGAAGCATGATATATGTGGCATTCCACCGAGTCACAACATCCATCGGGATAGTGGACATTTTGTCCTTCTTCTCTAAAACCGCATACTCCCGAAACTTATCCAACCTCGCACTTGAAGAATGAATGTACTTCACACAATTGCGGATGGCTTCAATGGAATCTACTAACTCTTTCATTCCATCCTTCACAATCAAGTTAATTATGTGACAAGCACACCTCATATGCAAGTTTTCATCAAGCATAAGACTATCACTATCATGCTTCCGGAGTTGCTTCTTCAAATACTCCACGGCAACATCATTGGAGCTCGCATTGTCTACGGTAACAGTAAACACCTTACTTATGCCCCATTCGACTAACTTCTCTTCGAAACACCTTCCTATGTCTTCACCCTTATGAGAAGTAATCTTACAAAAGTTAAGCACCCTCTTGTGTAAATGGAAATCCGAGTCGATAAAATGGGCCGTCACCACCATGTAATTGATATTTTGGATAGAAGTCCAAGTATCGGTTGTGATACTCACACGGAGATCACCAATTATGCTTTTGATCTTTGCTTTCTCATCGCAAAATAAACTCCACACGTCCTTCGCAATCATCCTCCGATTAGGAATCTTATAACGAGGTTGAAGATCATGAATAAATTCTTTGAAGTCCGGTTGCTCTACGGTTCGAAAAGGCATCTCCGCTTTGATTATCCACTTCACACACATGTTGTTGAGTCTTTTTTGGTTGAAGTCGGAAATTTTTACTTCACCTCCCATCATCGACTGAGTTAATGTGGGTTGGCTCTTGTCCATCACCACGCGAAGAGGAGAACGCTCACACCTATAATACAAAAAGTAAAGTTTGATTTAGCATTAAATTAATAGGAAAATATTTTAATGTTGAACAAGAAAAAAAAATACATGAGAAAAGTTTGATTTAGCATTAAATTAAATTTTAATGTTGAACAAGAAAAAAAAAGTTGAGGAGAACTCACACCTATAATACAAATGATTGAGAAGGCCTCTAGTTCCATTCCTTTTCGAATCGGCCGGCATTTGTAATTCACAATGTTTGCAAATAGCAAACATCTCCTCATTTCCTTCATCATCGCGAATAATTTCCCTAACACAATGATCCCAAGCAATGCTCCTCTCCTTTCTCTTTTTGGTATTGCCTTTTTGTGAAACATTCGTGTTTCTCGAGATTTCTTGAGTTTGATTATCTCTGTCTTTCATTTCAATGACATTGACATTGGTGCTTAGAGCCGGATTACTCGAACTCACACTCTGACTCTCCATTCCTAATAAAAAATCAAGTATATATATTAAATTAATCCGAGAACATCGATAATAAATAAACACATACGGAGGGACACAAACACACACGGAGGGACAAAGAGTAATATACAGTTTCACACACAAATACACACACACACACACACACTATTTTCACACACAGAGAGTTCAAACCCCACTATTTTTATTCCACATTCTTTATTATATACACACAAAATTTGTTTCTTCTTTTCCTTTTTTTTTTT